GTGGCTTTCTACTAAGTGTGAGGAAGCATGGTTTCCATAAACCCCTGCAAACCTCCCTTGTGTCTCACCAGGTTGGGCCCCTGTGGCCCCGGGGTGCCCTACACTGACAGGCCTACCCTGAAGCTTGGGGTGGGGTCAGGTTTCCCTGAAACACTCAGGTCTGTGGGATGGACCCCAGATAAATAATGGGCTAGTTTTAGGAGATAAAAGGAAAGAATTGGGGGACAGGCAGCCACCTGCCCTCATACCATACTAGCATATGGTCCCAGAGGTGTTCCGTTTAGTGCCTGGATTTCATCGGTGCAGTCTCCTCCGCAGTGGTGTGGGACTTCCTTCCAGCCCTCCTCCACTTACCCTGGGAGTCCTCATGTGTTTGTCTGCTCTGGTCCTTGCTCAGGTCTGATGCCAGAAGACCCTTCAAGGTGCAGCAAATGCCCCTCTGGCCCTGCTGTTCTCTTGGGCGCCATCCATTTTCCTGCTGCCCAGCCAGGTGCAGCTCTTCCCTGCTGAAGGCGTCATGGTGGTCTCAGGGACCGGGGGGACTGTCCTTCTTCAGTCTGTGCCATGCTCTGTTACTTGGGCCCCCAGGCAGGACTACTTATGCCCTTAGTCTCCCTCCAACACTGTTCCAGCTTGTGGCCTCCTCCTTGCCCGTCCCTGGTCCCCACCTCCCTGCTCAGGTGGGAGTCAGTTCACAGTGCCTGGCAGGGGGCCAGCTCGTCCCCCACCCCTTGCTCCAGATGACACCCAAAGTGCCCGCTGCACACAGCTCCGCACATGCCCGCCTGCTTCCAGTCTTGCCAGACTTGGCCCGGAGTGGATCCAGGATGGTATCCACGGTGGGTGGAGGCTGTCAAATGGGTGAATTCCTCTCTTGGGCCTCTGAGGGTCCCCCAGCCATTGGCGGGCTGGCTTCCCCCAGCTGCTGCCATTGCTCTGTCTCTCCTCTGTTCGTGTCCTCCTGGCAGGGGACCCCAGGGGCCAGGGACAGGTCTTCACTCTGGCCCTGCCTCTCTTCCTTTCTTTTTCACTTAACACTTTAAATATGTAATCCTGCCTCCCCACCTCCACTTTAATTTGAGAACTAATATGTTGTTAAATTTTCTGAAATACAGAAAGGTAAAAAAAAAAAATTTAAAGTCTTCCCATAATCCTACAGAGAAAAGCACTGTTAGCATTTTGGTGTTTTTCTTTCCGGTCTCTTCAAAATGTGTGGACAAATACTCTTGGAAGTAAGGTTGGCTTATACTATACACACAATTTTATGTCCTCCTGTTTTCACTTGATTATGAGCATTTGCCATGTCATTAAATACGACTTTACAGCATCATCTTTCAGTTAGTGCACAGTTTGCTATTGTATATCTGTACCAAGATTTAGTTTTTCATTATTTTAAATAGCGCTACACTAGGCATCCATGATTATTTCCACAAAATAAATTTCTAGAGGTGAAATTGGTTTGCTGCTCCACCTCTCAACCTGAGTGCTGTCCCTGTTCCCAGGGGACAGGCTTCATAGCCCCCTTCTCTGCTTAGAGTTCAGAGCCCATTGGGCAGTGCCTTGGAACTTGCTGCATTATTCTGTGCACTGTCCTCAGGCAGCAGAAGGTTGGAGGTGTTTAGGGTCCTTGT